AAAACTTTTCAAGGGGAGGGCGCAAACTTGAAATCACCGATTTTGAAAAGGCTTATATATATTAAAGTACTCTGGTAATAGTACTTTGACAAAGGGATATGACGCAACTTTCAACCTTTTCGAGAAAAACCGGTTTAAAGTTTACACCGTTCCGTATATACCACTCGCGTTAAGAGAAAGTGGCGTAGCTCAGGCTCTTAGCTGTAAGAGTACTACGATCGACCCGGGTTCGATTCTTGCTTATTACACTTTTTTTTTATAATAAAAAATTTTTTTTTATTATATTATTATGTTAAATATGTATTATTATGTAAAATAAAATTAATTTAATTAACAATTGTTTTTATTTAAAATTTTCACTTTTAACTTCATTTAATATATTTAATATATATATTCATTGAACATAATTTTTATTAACAGTCTTATTATTTTACATGTTCTATCCGATATAACACTAATAAAATGCCGTTTTTAACATAGTTTTAACTCAAATATCAACTGACACTCACGTTGAAGTGATTGCTCACTGCTTTTATTAAAGAACAAGATCAGATAGGATTCGAATTTCTTTGTGTAGATATATACGTTAGTAGAGAAGGGAAGGTGTGGAAAGGAGGCCGAACTGTTACCTGGAGCCATTAGGTATACAAATATACGAATAGGATCGGAACAATGAGTAACTTAACGTTGATAAAATTACAGATCAAATAAAATTACGTTGAATAAAATTCTTGTATTAAATAATAATTATATTAAAAGCGGCATTTTATTAGTGTTATATCGGATAGAACATGTAAAATAATAAGATTGTTAATAAAAATTATGTTCAATAAATTATATTAAATGAAATTAAAAGTGAAAATTTTAAATAAAAACAATTGTTAATTAAATTAATTTTATTTTACATAATAATATAATACATATTTAACATAATATAAAAAAAATTTTTTGGGAAAAAAAATGTAATAAGCAAGAATCGAACCTGGGTCGACACATCGGTAGTCCACAGCTGAGAGCCTGAGCTACTTTTTCGATAAGGGGCTTAACGCGAGCGGTATATACGAAATAGTATAAACTTTAAACCGGTTTTTCTCGAAAACGGCTGAAAGTTGCGTCATATCCCTTTGCCAAAGTACTCTACTACTAGAGTATTTTAACATATATATAAGCCTTTTCAAAATCGGTGATTTCAAGCTCACGCCCTCCCCTTGTAAAACATTTTTCAAGAAAAAGTATATTTTTTAAGAAATTAGCCTGGTATGGTCCGTATCATCTTGTATGTACAAGAGCAGGACATTTTTTTAATCATCCTAGGAGGATATTTTAGAAATTAAGAGAGATACGGGAAAAAGTTTTATATAAATATTGTAGGTATTTTCTTAGAGAAAAGAACGTGAACGATTGAGAAATCGAATCGAGGCTGCAGTGCATCAAATATCGCCAGATATCGTCAGCGTTTGACAGTGTTACGAATTGCACTGTTCAAAGTTCTCACATGCATGCGCTCGTCGATATACGCGGATGACTATGGCGCTTCTGTAGAGCGTGTGTGGCGCTGCCCGATCCGCTGAGTGGCTCTGTAGTATATCTCTCTCTGCACGTTCCGTTTTTCCGATCACGATCGGCCATTAGCATAAGAAAAATCACCGCGTGCATGTGAAGAGATCACAGTTCAATCATTATTGCTTGAGAAAGTTGCATTGTGAGAACGTTACATAATGTTGAGGCCTGACGAGTCACATCCTTTGATCAGAGAGAGAACAATTTACGTCTATCATTCTTTTAAGAACGAATCAACGATAGGACGATGGATTCTTGGCCCTGCAGAACGCTCTCAGCAGGACGCCATTGCCGCGTGCCTATCTGTACGTTTGCTTTTCTTGCCAGCTATCAGCTAAACTACCCATTTGAGTGGGAGCGTACAGATGTCGGAAAATTCTTGGATAAGTAGCATTATTAGCTTATTACACTAAGTTACGTCATTGCGGTAAGCACATAATGAATCTGGAACTTTCTGTAACGTTGCATATATATATATATATATATATATATTAGGTGTTGGAATTAATTCGTAGCGTTTTACAAGTGATGGGAAGTAAGCTCGAGAACGCTGCATATATATTATCTATATCACGGTTGCTATACCATGTTGAAAGTTGCTATCATAATGATACGCTGTTTTAAGAAAAATTGCCTCGTCGATTTTAACTACATTATGACACACATTTTGTTTGTTGACAACCGTCATTGAAATATCAAGTGCTCATTTCTTACTTTGTCTCATCAATAATCACGATTATGATGTCAGCATTAACGTTTCATTGTTAATGATCTGTTATTATTACTTGTCTACATACTATTCCTCACTAGTACGACAATTAACTGAAGAAAAATAAACAAGTGGTCACACTTCTGTATCGTTTAACATCCTGTACGCGATTTGAATGTCTTTTGCTTTACTCGCCTTCAGTGCGCCGAGAGCAAACGAGCCAACGAGAGAACGTCCATTCTTTTCGCTCTAGTCGCTTGTTTCAAGCGACCCAAAAATGCTTTTTCGGCAATCTTGGCTGCTCGATGTACATTAATAAAGGGTGAAAGGCATTCTAGATAACGTATAAGTGTTAATAAATTGTAATAATATCTAGTAATAGTATGTACCTAAAATATAGAATTCGGATAAGAATTAAGCCGATTCTACATAAGACACAGAACACTGATCGCATTCTACACTGATCGCAAACTTGTCTGGGACGTTCACTTTAAATAAAATCTATTTTTCTTTAAAAAAAAAATTCCCCCAAAAAACGTGTTTTCATAATTATGTTTATCAAATGCGCTTGGTATCAAATATTTTGTTTTAAATATTCTTTTCTATCATCCGAATTTAAAATTTTGACAATGAACAAAATTTTGGCAGTCTGATTATTAATATAAATAATAAAGGTGATGTAATTTAATAACGTAATAAAACCTTTTATGCGCAATTTTAAAATAATTTTTTGTCTATTGAAAAGTGATATAGGTTTCTTTCCTAAGGTTGTTTTAAAACTCTCATACATAAATTATTTCAAAAATTATATAAAATATTTTTGATCTAATATATATTTACTACTAACTTGATTATTTATTTTAGAAAAAAAAAACGGTAATTATTTGCAATAGAGGACTCCTCCCCAATGACTTGACCTTGACATATGTCATAACTTTGAATCACCTCCAAGTTTTAACTGTCGCTCGTTATAAAATTATTAACAATCAAAGCTAGTAATTATTTATCTGCTTTACATGAAAGATCAGATAACTAGGCAGGGGGAAAAAGGTACGGAATGAATCAATTAAAAAAATACAACTTTTCATGCGAAGTGAATTCCACCTCACCTTTCCCCTGCCAAGAGCCATCCGACTTTCCACACGAAGCGAGTTCCATCCCACCAGCTCCTCTACCTAGGGAGCTACCTACGTCCTACCTACGTCCGATTTTTTACGCGAAGAAAATTTCACCCCGTCATCCCCGTGTTAAGGAGCGTTCGACTTTCCACGCGAAGCAAGATCTACTTGAATGAAAAATTGTACACTTGTTGGCAAAGAAGGAGGGGTGATGGAATCAAATTCGATTGTATTCGATGAAGGAGTGTTAAGACTTAAGTGATATAATCAAATGAAAAAAAGCCCATATGAGTTGACACAGGTTCACGTGTAAAAGAATGTTTATTAAAATCTAAACGTTTCGATAACAATATTTTAGTCATCTTCAATAGTAAACTAACGTAATATAAATTGTACAATATTAAAATGAGTCGCTAGGTAAAATTACAATAATAAAGATGTGTCAAATTCAAAATCTGTTATAGTATTTGTTTGAATACTGTGTGTATTGTGTACGTGAGTCAATCGATAAAATGATATAATTACTATAATAATAAAAATTCTAATAAGCAATGATCAACCTTAACATTACAATTAAATGTAAACTTATGTATCGACTGTACTTTAGTAGGAGAATAAGTAGCATTATGAAGGTCTGTTACCAATTAATGTATAAGACAAATGAGAATTTCTGTTTTATGTAGTGAAAAAGAGACATCATTTTTCAAATTTTTTTGATAATAACTTTTTAACGAATAACGAGCAACAGCTAAAACTTGTTGGAAGTCACTCAAGATCATGATCTTAATAATATATGTTAAGATCATTGGGTGAGGGGGGAAGGATTCCTTAATGTAAATAATTACAAAAAATCTATGAAAAAAAAAGGAAAAAATGGAATTCGAACTTGAGACCTTCAGCGTTCCAATTTCGCATTTTACAAGCTCGATTACATCAATTTCTCGAATCTCGAGTTTATGAATGAGGTATATAATGCAAAATGAAAAATCGTAAATAATTAATATTCCGTAAACACGTTTTGACATGATTTATATTATTATATCTTATATTTATATCTGGATTAATGAGGGATACACAATTTATTAAAACTTAACTATCCTTCGCCTTTTATCGATACATGCTGAGCGGCAGAGAAAGTATTTTCTTGTTGACAAAGTATTTTCGGTCGTTTAAAACAAGCGACTAGAGCGAGAACAGTCTCTTGCTGGCTCGTTTGCCGGCGCGTCGAAGGCGAGCCACATAGACATGGGCTCATGCTTGTACGTGTGTCTACCGATTACGCCAAGTTGCCGACTTATAACGCTAATTGCGTACCTAAGATATTGATGTAGTAGTATAAAGTGATGTGTCAATGACACGTAAATTATCTGTAAATCTCTGTGTGTAAGTGCCAGTTACAATATGACTAATCGTCTTCAAGATCCCCTTAAGAAACTTTCAATAAATTTTAAATTTATCTTTACTTCCGCTCACTATCTCTTTTTAAAATAAGGTTATGTATCCAATAAATTACATAATTTGGTGCACTCTATCGAGTACAATGAATTTTTTTCGCAACGTCATGATAATCATTGTAAAATATGCATTGTTTCTTGCAAATTAAAAAAAATAAAGCTTTTTACGATTTTTTATTGGGGAGATGCAGCGTATCAAAATTACCTATATATATTTTTTTTTTCAATTACCTCCAGCATTAGGATTAATCGATGCGCACCAAGAAAAAGTTACTCGAATTTTACATATCATGTACGTATGTGCATATGGTGTGTACATATAGATGTGTGTGCATATGTGTTGAGTGACGCGTGAGTATACTTACACTTTAAAATCTCGTACTCCCGTCTCATCTTCAAATGATTTCTTACAAATCTATGTATATTGATATAAGTTCTAAGTGTGACCTGATGAACTTTTTATCATATACAACACTGCTTCTAGTTCCTAAAGATTTGTTGGCAGTCTTTCAAAACTTCATAGTCTCTTTCCGATCATCTCACACATGAACAATAACTCAAATAAATTTAAACTGACGTAAGCACTGTACCGCTAGTGTGTTAGTATTGTACTTTTAATTACGATTTATATCTACAGTATTATTTTTATTGGAGTTTAAATCCCGTCGAACATATGTGGAATGTGATGAAAAAAACTTTGGAGGAATTGTTAAGAGAAATAGTACTACATCAAATATGGTGAGAAATTCCTCAGGCTACAATTAGAACTTACATTAATAACAAGAAATTATACGAAGACGAGGCGGGAATACAAGATTTTAAAACATAACTAAGAGCTTCCCCCAACACGCACGCACATGATTTTTTACAAAATGCTTATGTAAATAGAGCGGAATTAAACCGAGTCGAAAAATCTTATACAAGTTTGCAATTTTTGCAATAATTAACAAGAAATTTGTTACGAAAATCACTGGCGCGTAGTCGTTCGACCTACTAAATTCACGAAGATACGATCGTTCTACATGTTTTCTTTCGCCACTTGTATGCTATTGTCGCATAAAGTAAAAAACAACTCTCCAACTTATGATGCTGAACAGTTACAGAGTATGAGTCCTATCTCGCTGCGCTATCATTTGAATTTAGCAATAGATTGAAAGAATACGCATTCATTCTATGATCTTTAATAATTAATTTCTCTAGTTAACTATTGCAAAAATTGTGAAATGGTACAGAATCTTTCTCAGTTTATTCTGCTCTATGTGCATGAATATTTTGTAAAAAATTATGGGACACTTTGTATATACCGTACCTTGAAAAGTCACTTTGGATCGCGTTCTCTTTGATGTGTTTTTTGAAATTTTGGAGAAAGTCGATGGAGGATGTACGTGTGTTGGAGAAGATGGCATCGAGGACCATGTCGGACGTGGTGTGGAAGTCGCAACCGGAATTCTCCACGTGTCGAGGGATGCCGCTGTCGCTCTCCAAGAATGTCTTCGCGGAGGACCCCCGACAACTTCAAGACCGGGTGACGGTATTGATGTTAGAGAGCCGCGATATCGCGAAGAATATAGATCAGTTGATAATCGACAATCACAGGGACTTGGCAGACCTGTTGTAGGATTGCAACGAAGCCAATATCCAGCAGGAGAGCCTAAGGACTCGCGTCTATGGATTTCCGATGTACGAAGACTACAACCGCGTGAACTAAAACATGTCTAAAAAAGGAAAACCATTAAACTTAATTCTCACGGATTCTTTAGGAAATCTAAAATTCACTTCTATACAGTTTTTCATTCAATGATTCAAAATTTTCGTATTTTACCTTGTTAATCCTTTTTACTGTAAATAAATTTTAAATTAACTTATCCCTCAAAAAAATAAACTCTAAAATATTCATAAAATAATATTAATACAAATAAACGAAGAAGCCAATATTCAATCAAAATGGATGTTGGCATCTAATATTTTTGCGTAAATTTTATAATTTAAGTAAATTTTCCAATTTAAGTAAATTGCGCATTATGATATTACATATTTTAGCTTCAATGGAGTACTGTGTTCCAAATGTAAGACTGTACTACAAGAATGACAAATAATCGATGTGTGTGAGATTGCGCCTAGATGTGGTTCCAATAAGATAGATGCTCGCGCAATACTAAACACTTATGGCTCATATTCAGAATGCACATTTATCTCTAAAATTCTATAATATGCGTAACGTAAAGTATAATATGTTAGCGCGTTAACATTGTGTTGTAAGCGCGTCCTAAGTACGGGCCTTTGTTTCCTAACAAATGAATAGGCAAATACGATCTAATCAATTATCCACCTCGATTATCGTACTTGATTATTATTTCTGGAGAAGGATAAAGGTATGACTTCATAGATATATATATTCAGATATTTCCCCCTATTCCCATCAGTACAGCTGGTAATAGAGTGAGAGAAAAATTCAGATTTCAATGTCTCGAATCTCGCTGCAAACGTCTTCTATCGCCTTCACGTTTTGAAGTGTGAGATATCTGAGGGTGGATATCGTTCCAACATTCATTGCCAATACTAAAAATCTATACCGCGCGTAACATATACTATATAGTTTCAGCACTGGCAGTAAATATCGGAACGCATCCTAGATATAGTCGGTTTGAAAGATAAACGTTAAGAAGACTTTGTCCATCTCAAATTTGGATAAAAATATACTGAATCGATGTATTTTCACACAAAAATAAAGATTTGACAAAAAAAGAGGGTCACTGTGCTTTATGAATCGAGATATTAATTGTCAAAGTTGACAACTATTCAGGTTAAGAAATCGGTCACAACAGTGATTTACTGCTTTAAAAATATAAATTCACTGCTTTATCAGATTTTTAATGCCAAGAATGTATTTTTAAAGCAAAAAGTCTCAAAATTTGTATTTTTTATGTATCCAATGTACATATATCATAATTTCGATAAATTAAATACAGGTTTCGAATGAGCAGGTTAAGAAGCGAATCAAGAGGAAAACTTGGAAAAAGATGCGATTAAGCACACTTTATTGTATTATAGATACAATGTAATATAACTTCAGACAGCTTATGTAAACGCGTATAAGTAACGAACAGATAGAGAGCGCATAGGTAAACTCGAAAGTAGTTCCTATGCATAATGATACAAAGGTGACAATGTAATCAGAAAGATCTGTTCGTAGGATTGTATTCACAGCATTTGTGCCAACAAATCGAATTATGGGAGATCATTCGAATATGAAGAGAGCGCTCTATTTCAGCTATACTAATGGGAAGAGGGGGAATATCTGGATATGCATATCTATGTGAAATTGCATCTTTAAGGACTTGATGTTCTGTGAACGTTCAACTACAATATGATTCGTAAAATAAATGAAGCAATTTACTCTTTAAATGCTAATGAAGTTCTTCTAGAAACTAATATTTTCCAAAATGGAGTAGATACTTGCATTGTAGAAAACAATGAGCACTTTGAACATCTCTTATAATAAAATAAATAAAATTCCCGGCTGTAAATTCCCATGGGTTTTTTCGTGGGATCCTATAGAGGACTATGAGATTCTGTAGAAGTTTGTGTAGTTACCTTTAGGATTTGCGCAACATGCATAGGTATACGTAGGGCATTCATAGAAATGCAAATAGGGTAATAGAGGTACCCACAGGAATGTGGACAAATGCACCATGAGAACTAAAAGATCTATAGGATACCAGTTTGACATTTATAGCAACATGTAGGCATATGTAAGACAAAGGAGAGGTGCCCCGTGGGAAAATGCCTATAGGCTACCATAGGATGACGTATGCACATCTCCCCTATTCTAACTCCTATGTAAATCTATATGTTCCTATACGTCAAAGTGTAGTATCTTATAGATGTTTAGTTCCCAAGAGGCATCTCTTTCGCATTCCTGAATATCAATCTATATCAATTTGAGAAAATAATTCGTAACTCCTAAAAAGTGAAAGCCACGATAATAGTTAATAAACGAGGTACGTTCCACGTCGGGAAAAAAATCCTGATTGCCATAAGGAAAATATTAGGTGTTGGAATTAATTCGTAGCGTTTTTAATGAAAGAATGTTATTTATTTCACATGAGCATTAAAAAATACATTAATGAAAGTACTTCCCATCACTTATAAAACGCTACGAATTAATTCCAACACCTAATATATACTCATGACTTTTTTGAGTCACCAAACACACCTTGTTTATCACGTGACTTTCAATTTTTGAAGTTATGAAAAAATTATCTTAGAGTTTCACGTAAAATTACATCAGTCGGCTGTTATAGCATTTTGTGTACACACTCTAATATGTATTTTATAGGGACTATACAGGGTATCTCAAAATATTTGGAACTATTTTTATGTGCAGATAGAGCCGATTAAACTGAACTGGAAGGTCCTGTATCATTTTGCAATTTTCACAATTATTAGCCCAAAGAGCAGTCTAAAATCGACGCATGAGACAACTTTAAGATATCTTTAAGAGTTCTTTGAAAAAACATCTTTAAAATATGTCATAAAGAACTCTGAAAAATATCTTAAAGTTGTTTTGTGCGTCGATTTTACCCGCTTATTCGGTAATTTTAGAAACCAACTATTTTGAAAATTGCAAAATGATACAAGACTTTTCGATTCGACTTTTTGAGAGTTTAGTCTACTTTATCTGCACACGAAAATAGTTCCAAATACGATCCTGTTTATCCACTTAGGTCCGATTGCATCAATATGCACATTATTCTTTTTCCCATGCGATCCTTTTTTTATGGACTGATGCCATAGATTTATATGTAAAACCTTGTAGAAAAATTTCCTATATTATCCTATATATACATATTGCGTAAATCCTATAGATATCTATTGTAAGAGATTTAGTGGAAATAGGCACAACAGAGAAGCTATCAGCGTCAGAGTGGTGTGGCAGGAAGTTTATCAACTCTCGGAGGAGAGACCAAGCTTGAGTTCGAGATGAGGAACGCCCTGATATTTTTCTCTGTTGTCATCAATTGTTTACATTATACAAGCTTCTACAAAATCTTAGGAGCTGCGCACAATGAAAGGAATAGAGAACAGGGAACAGAGAATAAGAATTTCAACCTACCAGAAATCATGTATTGTGGAATACACAGTTTCTGTAGGTTGAAATTCTTATTCTCTGTTTTCTGTTACCTATTCCTTTCATTGTGCGCAGTCCCTTATAGTCCTCTATAGGAACTCATGAAAAAACCCATGGGAATTTACAGCAAGAGAAGCCTCCTCCCATGAGGATCTGTCGAATTTACCATGGTTACCCATGGTTAGGCAAACTCATAGAAAAATTTCCCATAGAAATTTGCAGCAGGATTTACTTATTCAGAAATGCCAATATGGAAACACATGTGCGCGTACAATTTGCTTGAAAAATTATAAGATTTACTTAAAAATATTAATCATCAACTTTGATAAAATATGATCTTGTTGAACATTTCTCCAGTGATTTTCACATATTATTGTTAATATTTAATATTATCTATATAATATTTATTATCTATTCTATCATCTAATTTAATCAAATAAATACTTGGTCTGTTTTTTTATAGCTAAATTAATATACATCTTTTTGTACTAAGACTCCTGAATACTGTTACGTGCCACGTCACTCTTGTCGCGACATGTTTTAACAAATTTCTAATATAAAGTTTTTGTTTAAATGATCCCGATAAACCTGTTTCGGTTATTTTCTTGTTCATTTTCAATACTGTTTGTCCTTTTTTTCCTACTCTTTTGATTTTTTCTGAATATTCTGTCTTACAAATATTTTATGATCAGCAAACGAATTCCTGAATCATAAAAAGTCACGTACTTCAGATCCTTTCTACTCTTACCACGCATACTTATTGGGTTTTTGAATATGTTACCTTATTAGCTAATATTCAACAAAATTCCACTTCTTTCGTCTTGGTGAAGATTTTTCCAACTCAGATTTAATCAGTCCACTTCTGTAAATCGTTCTTGCAACTTAGTTTTAAGCTTGCCAGTTGTATTATCTCTAAATAAAGGCTGTTCTGAAGACAGAATTCAAATCTTATCATTATACTATACACTCGGCGTATCTCACACGTAACAGTACTCAGTTAAGAACTCAGTTTGACGGTGGCGACACAGAATTAGATGGCGCGGCAGCCTAGCGACACACCAGTAGCCACACACGAGCCCATGTACATGGGCGAACCGAAGGCGAGCACATGTATATGGGCTCGTGCTTTTGTGTGTGTGTGTGTGTGTGTGTGTGTGTGTGTGTGTGTGTGTGTGCGTGCGGTCGTGTGCGTGTGCGTATGTGTTATTAGAGTGACTCGTCACGATAAATGGCTGAACTTATAGGCGTAGAAAAGTGACGTTTGGACGACGAAATTTGTGCTGCATGTCATTTCGTTATTATTTGCTTCATTGTGAAAATGTAACTTGTCTCATACTTATGAAAGCCCTAAAAATGAGTGGAAACTAGTTATCTTGAAATTTTATATGTAAAAGTGTATATTTCACTCGTTTTAACAGCTGTCAAATCGTGTGTTTCTGCCCGAATATAGCTCATTTTACGACCATTTATTGACTATCGAGAGAGAAAAGGACAATTTTCGCCCATTTTATAAGTGTCTTAAAGCGATCTCATCATTTAGATTTATCCAAATTGTTTTTATTACAAATGGCATGCAGCATGAATTAACATCATCATGTCATTTCTCGCTTATAACGACACGATTCCAACGTGGCGACTACTAAAAGCCTTAAAATGAAATAAGTATGTTTGAAATTTGATAAAAGCGAAAAAGCAGGTTTTAGCATAGTCCTGTGAAGAAATAAAAAGAAACCTGTTATTAATATTTTGAGGCTTTCACGAATATTTTCTTCAAAGAAATTATCAAAGAATAATGAGACTAGAACTATAATATAGATATTCGCATCCGTCATTTTTAGTTCTTTCTCCACTCTTTGTTCTCTCTTCAACTTTCTTTCTTCTCTCTTCAATCTTCTTAGTTTAGCAGCAGAGTGGAAAGAGAGCAAGAGATTGAGGAAAGGAGCAAGAGAATGAGAAAAGGACTAAAAATAGCAGATGCGAATACTCATATTATAGTTCCTTAGTGAGACCAAGAATGTAAGACTCGCGATCCCGTTATTTCGCGCCATCTAACATTTCTTTTGTTATTTGATCGGACATATTAGAATATGGTCGACCAAATAGAATATGGGTCTCTTTCATCAACCTCGGTTAAATTAACGACGATTATGAGGCTCATTTCATTAGGCCCAATATCACAACTCATGGCTAATTTTTAACTGAGGTTTAACTTATTTTAAGTAATAATGAGTAATAATAAGTTGTGAAACTGGGTCTAAATGAATTCCATGTAACCGTCAGTTAGCTTAATCGACGTTGGAAAGAGACCCTATGACTTCATCGTGCGAACACCAGCAAACACGTGTAAAGTGATAAATCTTGGGCGTTTTCCAAGCAAGAACACAGTTAGATACTGTGTAACACAGTGAATCGTTTCATTCTTGTTCAAAGGCAAACAACATCATTACATGTAAAGGATGTAATAATTCACATCTGATTGGCTTTGATGAAAAACACCCCATAAATATTAAGTATGTCTGAAAAATCTTGTAAAGAATAAGTCATGGTTCTCACTGTTTAATAAAAACTTGTTATACGAACAAGTTCGACAATCCAGGATTGTCCTTTATGCTTTATACATTTGCCAAAAGATTCGTCCTATAAATTCTATGTATCCTATGTATGTATCACTTTCTTATACGCGTGTGCATCGTGTGCATGGTGGACGTGTGTGTGTGTGCGCGCACGCGCGCGTGTTCAGTTATGTTAGATTGAGTACATGTAGCTTACGCCCTCAAACATTTCATTTGTTAACTACAATCTACAATCAGGGTCTTTCATGAATGGATTATAAATGAATCCTCCATTCTTGGTCTCACTATTCTTTGAAAACTATTAAGTTATCTCCATGTCTTGATACATCGTTACATGCTAACGTTTTATGAATACAGGGTCCATTATGAAAGTAATGCGCATGATTTTATTGTGACGCGAATATCCATCGCAGCGGGGTAAAATGGGTCGGGAAATGTGGTGGGGGGTCTGCCCTTCCAAGGCAGCCGGTCGCCAGTTTGCTCCGAGCAGTCTGAGTGGAAAGACGTGCCTCCGCGTGAAGTATGTTTTTCGACTTTGTAACACGGCGCGATGGAGCGTTCGCTTGAACAGCGATACGCCATCAAGTTTGCGTGCGACTTGGAAAGAATGCAACCGAAACATTTCAGATGCTTCAAGAGGCCTTCAAGGACAACTGCATTTCAAGGTCACAGTCCGGGAGGTGGCACAAGGCGTTCAGCAAGTCTCGCATCAAAACGATGCTCATTGTCTTTTTTGACGTCCGAAGAATCGTCCATTTTGAGTTTGTACCGCAGGGAGAAACTGTCAACTCAGCCTTCTACCTGGAGGTGCTCAAGAGATTGAAACGCCGGGTTGCGCGTGAGGGCTGACATCAAAGACGCGATCAAGCTCCACCATGACAATGCCCCCAGCCACACGGCCTTCATCGTTGCCAACTACCTGGCCCGGAGCAACACCCCGATGGTCCTCCAGCCCCCTTACAGTCCCGACTTGGCTCCGTGCGACTTTTTTTTGTTTCACCGTCTGAAGAGAGAGCTGAAAGGAAAGCATTGGGAGTCCGTGGAAAACATCCAAAAGCATGTTACAACATTCCTAAGAGACATTCCCGTCGAGGAGTTTCAGCGTGCCTTCCAGGCATGGCAGACACGTCTCCGTAAGTGTATTGATTCAGGGGGAGAGTATTTTGAAGAATTTTGAGCATTTATACCGCTACGATCAATAAATCTATTTTTCCCAGAAAATGCGCATTACTTTTATAATGGATGCCATGTATTGCAATTTACTTCATCAGGTCAAAAACAATCTAATGCTGTAAGTATTAGATAAAGCGCATTTATATCATTCATGTGTTTTCATTCTTGTTGTACTTAAAATAGCATCATATTTCATCCTGATGAAGTAAACTGCAATGTTTGTAAACAATGTATGAAGATAACACAGAGATAATTCGTAAAACTTCCGTAAAACTAATTTGAAAGCTATGATTAATAATTTTTGTTTCTAACTTTTTCAATAATTTATGTTTTAATTTTACCTGTGCATGTGGCTCATGGCACAAATGATCTGCACTTCTTGATAATTCTGGTACCATGCTAGTGAAGCTAATATCCGACAACATTACTCTTCTAGCTTCTCGGGTTTTGTCCGACAATCTCAGCCGGCTAGGCACTCCCGTTGGTAGCGCAAACTTGCTCGGTAATGTTGTAAAAGTATGTGCGACTTTGTGCGCGAGATAGCTTTCGGATCGCCATTGTGCCGGAAGCGCAGAGATGTCCGTTTGGGCACCAGATTCTCTTCGGGCACCACTACTACGATCCATCACCGGCCGCAATGGGACAGAATTCTTTCTCCGACTATTAGCCAGAGCTTCCCGATGAATGATGGGTCTGGGAGAATAACAGTAATACATTTAGTAATAAAATTATATAACATAATAAAACGTATCTATAAAATTAGAAATTGATAACAATAAGTACATTCAATCAATTGATTGCTCGATTTTAAGCTGAAAAATATAATCAATAAGAGAGAATTACGTGAATATTGTAAATGCAGTTTATAAACCTAAGAAGACATAAGATTTGTTAAAAAATGGTTTCCTGAAGAAAATTATCTAAATTGTAAACCTGTAAGCCGTCGATGGTGCAGCCAGAGTATTTCTTCTCGTGACATGTCGCAAGGATGATCCTGCTGTGCTTTCAGCATCTTCTAATATACCACACTTGCTGATGTCAGTCTCCACTAAAACGGAGCATTGCGACCACATCTTGTTGAGTCTGGTACTGGAGCTCTCATCAAACCTGTCGACACTCTCCTCGCGGTCGATGCTAGAACTCTGCGACGAGATGGCTTCCTCGACAGAACTGGTTTTCTCACCATTACAAACTAATGACTCATCCTCTGTCGGTTTTACATATTTAAGTAAAATAGGCTGGCCGCCACCGCCATGTTGCCATGTTTCCGTCTCGGTGATAGAAACCAGATCCTCCTGCAGACCGAGATCGCGACATATCTCATCTGTCGTGAATATTAGCTCGATGTCATCCAATTCTTCAGATTCGTTCTCTGAATGTTCGTTCGGTCTCGGCGAATCACCTGGATGATCTTGTCGAGTTATCTGAGGTTGATCTACGTGATCACTGAATACAGAATTATCACCGTCAGAGATAGATTTCAAACTCAAGTCTTCAGGATCCTTCCCAGGAATATCTAAATGACCCATATTAGTGGCATCACCTAAAATAACGAAAAGGACACATGTTTAAGAATTGAAAAATGTAAAGAAAACACATTTTTTTTCAAAAAATCTATATTTTTACAAATTTTTTAATATCTAATTTTTAAAAAATTTTTAGTGGCGTATTGTTATATCGCAAATGCAAAAAATTTTTTCTTTTTTATATTATATTTATATATTGGTATGTCTACCGTCCGTACAAACGGAATTTTTTTTTTTTTTCTACCTCTCTCATTCCGCGCTATTTACTTTTGTTAATTAGCTTCACATTGTTCATAAAAATATTTTTTAGTTAAACATTTTGCGTGAATATTCCAACCGAAAACTTATTCGGATAGTAGTATTGTTCTCTATCACGCCAGTACGACGTGCATTAGCTAGCGCGATTAAAACATTCGCGAGGCGCGTGCCGCGTATCGATGCCTAAGGGTGCCATCCCATAGAGCAGAAATTGACAACGGACTAGAATTCGCGGAATCAACATGACGAATCACAGCCATTCCGTTTTCTTTCTTACGCTTTTCTTAAATCCTTTATGTCTCATTGAGCGTAATAAGCGGAAGCGGAACACGCGAAATAGTACAAAATTATACTTTTCATGTTATTTACAATACTTGTAATAATAAAAATAATATTTTAATAATATATATAACATAAACATAATAATGCATATAACAAATGATAAACATTAGAACTTCTTTAGCAATAAAATATTTTTAACCGAAAAATTATCTCATGATTAGCTGAAACTTGATTCCGCTGTCACGTTTACTCAATGGGACATAAGAGAAAGAAAATAAATGGAATCATAGGCTGCTGATTAATATCTACATATTTACTGTAATTATCGAATCATTAACATTCTGCTATTGTGACTATATTAATGAAGAAGACAAAAACAAAGTGTTACCAATCACATTATATAGACAATGGCTGTAATATACATCAACAGCATATAATTGAGATTATGTGCAACTTTTGTTCATTCCGCAAATTGTAACGGTAAAACCGCGAGTTCCATTCCGTTGCCAATTTCTGCTCTATGGGACGACACTCAACAACGAGATTCTGAGAAGAGATAATTCCGCTCAGAGACGAAAAAATCGTTCCCACATATCAAGGCTCCCACCGAGGCATTACTATTCTGCGTGAGAATCTATAAAAATTAATTTGATTAAAGCGTTTCAACTCTCGTAATTCCACGAAATAAACATCGATTATCGCGCACCAATCACAGCCCGCGACACGCGTGTCGCTCGTCGCTCGAATTCCAGTAGGCCGATTTTAACTCACTATGTGTTAGTGCGTATACGTATACGATGTGTATGTGTGTATGTATGTGAGGGAGTCAGGGAGGGGGAAGTGCTCACAGACGTTGGGAAAGGGGGGAGGAGGAGTGCGTCACCGGGAGTCCGTGTTAGAAGAGGAAGGGGGTTTCGTTCCTTCTCTCTCTTCAACTTATTGTCCTCCCTCTCCTACTCATTATAGGATGCAGTTCTCTCTCATCCAACCGTCCTACACTTATTTTTTGCGCTCTCTCCTACGTTATTTTTTCTTCTTGCACGCGATTTAATTAAATAGATATGATAAATATTTTATGAATTTTTAATGATACGACTTAAATAATTAAAATAATAATTGTTAGTAATGTAGTACAAAAAACAATGATCAAGCGCGCTTACTTATCGACTAATTCAATATTTATTGAATCGTACTACTGAACAGCTATTATTAACTACTTCTTAACTACAGGGAAAGAAGGAAAGGAATCAAAATATATTTTAAAAATTTCATATTTTATTTTAAATTTGATACATTTCTTTTTAGTTGCGAACCAGTTGTATATTTTAAATATCAGTCTTCTATCCTCACTGGTGACACACTCAGTGAAAATTCATGTAATATGTGCACGGACTTACGATTGCTGTATGCGTCCGTGATCACGTTGCAATACAAATGATATTTACGTTGATGATATTTTTGATTCGTGCCATTGTTGCGGCTCCAGCACGCGATTCGATGAAAATCCCAACGCGATTCAATATTGTGAGGTTTGGTGAAATTTATTCGATAAGCGCATTTGATCTCACTCTTCATTGTATTGTTATTGGCATGAATAGTCAATGAATACTATTCATCCTCTTTGCGAAGCGTTTTCTCTCTCGCAACATCATTAAGATGAAATTATAGAATTACACGTCTTAGATACTTGTTAATGTCACGTATTTTGTACAATCCTTCGGAAATGACAATTTCTTTGTCATCTTCGTCAAAGTAAAACTTATTATTTAATGAATTTTTAGATATTATATGGAAGGTTTCAAACTCCATCAGAACTCGCCATCGCTCAAATCTACGATTCGACGTGGAATCCACCTATTATCAGAAAGATAAAAAATAAAAGGGAAAAAGCAGTGATTAGCGATGGACAATATTTTGAATGATCAATTTGTAATCATTTTTTCACAATAAAGTCGTATTTTTACCAAAAAATCTCTTAAAATTAATGCACACTCCCAATATTTTTTTTCCTGTGTAATATATATTAAATATAGACGCATTATACATGTTATATACATTACACATATTATATATTATAGATGCATATGTACACGCATCGGCAGGAATGGTGTCCCCTGGCGTTCAGCGCGCGGCATTACATTATATCATATTTTTTTTATTTATTATATGTTCTTATATTTAACTGTAAATTTAATTTTGTGATACAAAATATTAAATTCATTTGCACACTGCAAATTTATAAATGCATGCAAAGCTATTACAATAAGTTTCAAAATTACACATAATGTTGTAATTATGCACAAAAATTTTTTACAGTATTAAACATTTTTATGCATAATTACAAAATATTTTGTACATAATAAAAGTATTATTATTAATATACCGCTTATCGTCGTATGGACTCAGAGCGATTTTCGTTTCGGATGTATGTATACTTCGTGCAATTTCGATTTTATGCACGACTGCTTGCGCATCATTTTGTCATTGAGACACCGCGTATAGTCATTGAACATTATGGATCTTGCTACAACGTTGCTCTTGACGTCCTTTGCCTTCTTAGTATCTTTTTTGCCATCAACGCGCAAGGCGTACATTTTCGCTCTAAGCCCGACGAATTCGGTCATGATCGTTGTTGTTTTCATCTTTCATTAAACCGGGAATTTTTTTATTTAGAAACGGAATATCATTTGCATTGTCGATCGCGTAATCGCTAGTGTCGATTGATATCGATTGATATCGTACTTCATAACAGCGTAGACATCGCCTCAATGTGATAAATAAAGCTGTCCATGTCGCTATACATAATTTTACATTTTTCATGAAAGAGCGGTAACATGTACTCGTGGTGAAATTCATACAAATATGTCTTGGATATGTCTAAGATACACATACCCACATAAATCATTTGTTGAATTTTATTTCGAGTTCACGCATTTCTATTGCGACCAGATTTTTAGAAAAAAACGCTTTTACTATGAAAGTTTAGTTTCGCGAGCATTGTTTCTACACCATATCTCCCGTCTCAATGCGTTACGAGTCGCACATTAACATGATTACGCACATTCTCCATGGTCTTGCAAAAAATTGCGTTGTTCATTAATTTGAATAAGTTTTTCTCGAACTCATTCTTTGCTAAAGTTTTAAAATTTGTATTGAGTTGAATGTACTCGCAAAGCCACGGAGATTGTGCAAATTGCGATAGATCTTTGTAATGCAGAGACCGTGATGAGAACATTGCTGCAGATTGCGATAATGTATGAAGTTACGTTTTTTGTTATACAATATCGCGAGGACCTTCTCCTCTCGCTTGCCAGGTGGTTTTCCGTGCGTTAAACAAAACAGTAGATTGAAATGCGCATCATGGAGATGTTGCGGATACTCCAAATCCACCTCGAGAACGTAACCCTTCGGTGAATCTGTCGCGATGGTCGTAACATCAAAATTATCTATGTCGTCGACCCAGCGAAAATTAGCAATGGTCGACACATTGCCCAACCGTATAGGTTGTTAACGCCAAAGTACATCAGGTATATTGATGGTTTCGATGAATCATACGACTGCATGTGGCCTGCGCATATCTGTTTGAACATTGACTCAAACGTCACGTATACCATGTTCGATGAATAGAATCATGTTAACGTCGGTTCGAAATTGACGCGAGTATGTTTCAACATCGCGTCATGTAAAACCCGGTAGTGTATATAATAATACGCGGGATCGAGTCCATAACTGATGATACAATATCCCGAAAATTCTCAAATATATCGGCCAATAACAATACATCTGTTTTTAAATATAGATCACTGTATTGTATGAGTGTTTGGATGGAAAACCGCTACCATATGCTCACGGTGCGCGTGTATCGCTCTCGGATACGATATCACTCATCAGCGAGTTATAAAATAATTTGCGCGATGGTAAAGGAAACTCGGTTTCCTTCTTTTCGATGCAGTCAATATATATATATATATATATAATTTAAACGAATCAATAAAACATAATTTTACACAAGTTTTTTTTATCATTTTCATCTTTGGTGCCGTCAACGTGTTTAGTAAACGAAATGTATTTTTCTTTCGTTATCGATAATATATTTATATGTCCTTCGTAAGCGGTGGCTATTTCTTTGATAATGAAATGTGCGTCGTATCCCGATAAATTATGAAAAACTATGGAAATGCAATGCAAATCTTTGTAATTTAAGTTGCAATTTGAATGCGCGGGACCTCTATATCACCCGATGAGATGTCAATGATCGTATACCCGTGTGTCATCTTTTGCGAACAGCTTCTGACACACATGACAGTGCGTAGCGCTGTTAAATTTTATCCAATCATCTCACGTAAAAAAATTAGCGGATAAGATAATTTTGACATTATATGCTAAATTTTTTAGTTCCTCGGTGAACCATGCTATGCAATCATTATCGCGACGAAACCGATACTTTGACAGCGAATAACATAGTACGAGCAACGGA